GATCTCTCTACTATTCAGATGGCCATTGGGGCACAAATGGCCAGCGTCCAAATCACTCATTTGGTCGTAGTCATCAAGCATAGACTGGCTCTCTTTGATTTGCTCTAAGATGAATTGGTACTGATTTATGAGGATCGAATCTTTTTCCATCTCTCTAAGATTATTGTCGCTTATCAGCTGGGCAGAGAAAGAGAAAGAGATGTTAGAATGGAGAATGGGAGTAATGGAGAAGATTTCCCTGGAGGTGAAGTCTCCAATAGTCAAAACTCCATTTTTTGTCATTTCAGTGTCAGAAAATGGATGAATCAGGGAGGAATCATAGACGTGCCTGTCCTGCCTGAATACAAAAGCTTTTTAGAGAAAGCAGCTCAGGATGTGAGTGCTCTCATTTTGTCTTGTGACCTTTGTGATCCAGCCTGCAGCCTGTGCTGGCAACATGGATGGATGCATGAGAAAAGGAGCATTTCCCTCTTCTAGGATTCCCACTCCTAGAACTCCTAGGAAAGGTGACTTTGGTGAGACACCTTCCCTGACAAATCTGCATCTCTTTCCTCCTGTCTCCACAGCTCAAATCTGCCCAGATCTCTCTTGTCCCCTCACACCATGCCATGATTCTGTGATTCTGTGATTTTATGTGTGGTTGCTACAGGTGTACCCCAGTCCTGGAGCACCAGAGGTTGCCTCCTCTAACCCCATACCCAGGCAGATGTGTCAGGAAATCAGTTCTGGAGCTGAGGTTTCTCTGGGAGGGCTGCAGTTTGTTCAAGGATGAAGACATTTTCTCAGTAAGCCAAAAGATCTCCATGTAAATGGAGTCTCTTACAGCAGTGCTAAGAATGTGTCTGAGAGCATTTTCTGCACCAGGGAGCATTTTCTGCAGCATCACTGAAAAGAAGTTACAAATGATCAACCTCTGAAAGGGCTCTGTAAGCTCAATAGAGTCCTGGGGAAGTTAACAAAATCAAAGATATTTTTGGTGATCTGGGTTCAAGGTCCAGGATGAAATTGCCAAATTGGATAGGGCTTGGAGCATGATAGTCTAGTGGCAAGTGGCCTGGCCCATGCAGGGTGTTGCACTGAAATGATCTTTAATGTTCCTTCCAGCACAAACCATTCTATGATTCTTCAAATAACGAGACAGTAGAGGCTGCAGTGGTGCAAGACCAGAATTGTTGCTCAAGTTCCTACGGGTCATAAGATGAAAAGATTATTTTTTCATAATTTTAACAGTTTTTTGTTTGTCGTTAGGGAAGCATATTTAGCCTTCTTCTGCAGTAGGGCATGTGGGTTATTCTCTGGCTCACCTTTTCCCAAATGCCATCCTGCTATTCTGTCCTTTGCAATGACAGGAATTGCCTCTTTTTCTCTTCAGCAATGTGCCTGGCCTTTTCGACTGAAGTTTGTCTGAAAGACATTTGAGAGGACTCAACAGCATTGGAGTTCTGTCTGTCTGCTGGATCCTTCTGGACCAAGCCTGAGCCAAAGGCGCTCAGGCGCCACTGCCCATGCATGGAGATCACACCCTTCTGACTGGAGAGACACTGATGCTCCTCACTTTTCACTGCCTGAAACATCACGCCAGAAATCCTTCCACAGTTAAGCTGACCCTCTCATCTCCTGTGCCTCTTCCCCCAAGGCTTTGTCCCTGGGCCATCTCATCCCCTTCTGAGTTTCTCCTCACTTCTCTCACACCCCTCACCAAACCTGTTTGACTCTTCACTGGGAGCAGTTCAGCTTTGTCAAGGGTGCAGAACAGCTCAGGGTAAAGTGGGGAGCAGATCCCAGCAGGACTTTTGATCACTCAAGTTTAGCCTCCCTTGGGTGCCTTTTCCCATCACTTGGTCCCCCACCACAGCAGGACATAGGGAGGGGAATCATTTCACTTTGTCATGTAACACAAAGTAATCTGATGCTCTCATCCCATCAGGGGCTGTGTCAGTATCTGATGCCAGGAGCAAAAATCCATCCAAGCTGAGGCCCAGGATTGCAGGAGCTGTCCAGCAAAAGGGGTGAGAGTGATGTGCTCACTTTGTTCTCCTACAAAGCCAAATCTTCTCCCGGGTCTCTGTGCAGCCCAGCTGGCTCCAGGCAGGGCTCTTGCTGCTCTGCCCATGGCAACTGGAGGCAGCGGGAGCTCAAGTCCATGGTGCTCCCAGGCAGTGTCCCGTGTCTGTGCTGGCATCTGCTTCCCTGTGCTCAGGTGTGCAGAGCCCCCAGAGCTGCTGCTGGGGAAAGGGCCGGGTTTGCCCACACCACTGAAGTACCTCTGGAGCTTGTTGCTCCACACACTGATGAGGAGGGAGATGAGCTTTCAGGAGAGCACACAGAGCCATGACCGGTGCACACCAGAGCTTTGAGCAGAACCCAAGAACATTTTGAAAAAGCTGCGATTCAAGGAAAGGCAGCAAAAAACATATTTTCCTCCCCGGAGTGTGACAGGCTCTGAGCAGAGTATTTAGTGGAATTTGGAAGGCCAGATCTCTTACTCTGAGCACAGCAGAGGATGGATGACACTTCTGGTACTCCAGCTTGTGGACACCTTGAAAGCCACTCCCACCCTGTTTCCCTGTTGGCCCCTGTGCCCTGACCCCACCCTTGTGACACCTCCATGTCCTCTGGCAATTGGTCTCTGATATTTCTTTCCCTGCCCTGCTCATTCCATGTACACAACCCAAAGCCCCTGACCATTGCCTTTGCCTTTGACTCTGAACTCCGGGACTGTGCACGCGTGTGGCTGAAATAAACATCTCTGTGCATCCCATGCAAAGGCCCATGCTGTTTTTGCACCTGCTTCACTTCAACGAGAACCACAACCACAACAAATGATGCATAGAACAGGGATGGATCATCCTGAGACCACCCCGAAAATGTTTTTAATCGCACTGTCATGAGTTTGAAATTTTGGGGCACTTTTCGCTTTTTCTCCTTTTACTCTCAGTTGCTGGGAAAATACTTGAAGTGAAATGCAAGGAGGAACCATCTACCCTCAGTGGGAAATCTATCTACAATTTAAAGAGATTCTTCGCCAAAACAATTCTTATTTTTCATAGGAGATTTGAAGATTTTCATGCAGTGGTTGTGTGAATATTATCCTGATGTCTCACGGGACTAATTTCTAAACCATGATTTTTTAGAAGATGCTTGGAAAAAGCTGAACAATGAGGACTTTCCAGTGCTGCAACTTTGTTGTCTCTATCACTTAATTGCTTCGAGTGTTCAAAGTCTTGCAGAAAATGCTGAACCCCAGCCAAAAACTTCTCCGTGTTCCCCTATTCGCGTCCCTACACCCTCTCTCCTGTNGGCTGGAGCACGTCTGCTCTGGAGAGAGGGTGAGAGAGCTGGGGATGTTGAGCCTGGAGAAGACTCCAGAGAGTCCAGTACCTCCAGGATGTCTAAGAGGGCTGGAGAGGGTCTTTGGACAAGGGTATGGAGTGACAGGACAAGAGGGAATGGTTTCACACTGATGGAGGGCAGGGTTAGATGGGATATTGGTAGGCAGGTCAAAATGAGATGATCTTGAAGGCTTTTATGTGCCATCAAAACCAACCCATTCTGTGAGTCTGTGATTCTGCAACATTTGGGAAAATCTCCTGAGCCTTTTCCATCATGGATGTGAGGCTTATTTCCTGGGACAGGCACTCGTGAACAGAGTAATCATTGTCTTCCTATAGAGCTTGGCTAACAAGTTTTCCAGCTCCCCGAGGCTTAGGTCGTCCACCTCGTCCTTGTCGTTCTTAGCGAAAGCTCCCCAAGCCCTCGTTGGATTTCCGTTCTCCAGGCAGCAGGCAGCTGACCAGATGTGGCTGGGTATATTAACCCTCCCATTGGGGGGTGTAACCAGGCACAGCACCCGTGATGACATAGGTGATATCACAGCCCTGAGTTTTCTGGGCCATCGTTTGATTCTCATAGAATTTCCACATACCACTGTTGACTGTGCTGTTCAGGGGCACTGTGTTGGTGAGGGTGAAGGTAGCCCACTTGCTGTTGTCTCCAGTTTGGTGGCCATACGGTGTCATTTGACCATGGTCCAGGCCCTGGAGGTTGTCGTAGTCTTCTTTGATAGCCTGGTTCTGGCCAATTGTCTCTAAAGAGATGTTGTATTGCTCTTGAATGGACTCCTCTGTATCCATATCCTTACTGTAATTTTGGCTGATGAGCTTGACAAGGTAAGAAGAGAAAAAGGTAGTAGTACCGAGCATGCATGTAATGGAACAGATTACCCTGGAACAGAAATCTCTGATTGTCAAAATCCCATGTTTTGTCACCTCACTCTAGGAAAATGGATGAATCAGAGAGAAATCATAGACATGCCCCTCCTGCATGAATACAAAAGTTTTATAGAGAAAGAACTCAGAATGTGACTGCTCTCATTTTCACTTGCGACCTTTGAGATCCAGCCTGCAGCCTGTGCTGGGAGAATGGATGGATGCATGAGACAAGGAGCATTTCCCTCTTCTAGGATTGAAAAGTGACTTTGGTGAAACACCTTCCCTGACAAATCTGCTTCCCTTTCCTCCTGTCTCCACAAAACAAATCTGCCCAGGGCTCTCCATGGATCCCCTCACACCACGCTGTGATTCTGTGATTCTGTGATTTTATGTGTGGTTGATACAGGTGTACCCCAGTCCTGGAACACCAGAGATTGCCTCCTCTAACCCCATACCCAGGCAGATGTGACAGGAAATCAGTTCTGGAGCTGAGGTTGCCCTGGGAGGGCTGCAGTTTGTTCAAGGATGAACAGTTGCACTCAGTAGGCCAAAAGATCTCAGTATCAATGGAATCTGTTCCAGCAGTGCTGAGAATGGGTCTCAGACATGATCTGGGCAAGGGAGAATTATCTGCAGCATCACTGAAAAGAAGTTACAAATGATCAGCCTCTGAGAGGAGCCTTTAATCATATAAGAGTCCTGAGGAAACTAAATTCTCCAAAAAGACCTCTGGAGAAAGTTAACAAAATCAGAGTTTTTTTCAGGTATCCTGTGCCCAAGTTCTAGAAAGATAAGGCCAGTGATGAGTTTGGAGTATGCTCGTCTGGGGGCAAGTGGCTTGGCTCATACAGGGGGGTTTGGATTGAGATGATTTTAAGGTTCTTTCCCACACAAACCACTCTATGATTCTATCATTCTACAAAATGACAGAAGTTTTTATCCCTTGCAAATGGGGAGGCATAAGTAGTGCAAGACCAGATTAGTTTGCTCATGTTCATATGAGTAACAAATGTAAATGATGATTCTTTTCATAATTTCAACATCTTGTTGTTCATCTGTAGGGAAGCATATTAAGCCTTCCTCTGGAACTGGACATTATGAACTTCCACATTTTCGCCAAAACCACCCTACTGTACCCATGGAAAGGTCCTGAATTTATTGCCCTTCTATTCTGCAATTGGCCTGGCCTGTCTTCCTGAAGGCCTGAAAGACATTTGTGAGGGCTCTACAGCTTTGGCGTTCTGTCTGTCTGCTGGATCCTTCTGGATCAAGCCTGAGCCAAAGGTGCTCAGGGGGCACTGCCCATGCATGGAGATCACACCCTTCTGACTGGAGTCACACTGATGCTCCTCACCTTTCACTGCCTGAAACATCACTATAGAAATCTCTCCACAGTTAAGCTGACCCTCTCATCTCCTGTGCCTTTTCCCCCAAAGCTTTGTCCCTGGGCCATCTCACCCCCTTCTGAGTTTCTCCTCACTTCTCTCACACCCCTCACAATGCCTGTTTGACTCTTCACTGGGAGGAGATGAGCTCTGTCAGTGGTGCAGAACAGCTCAGGGCAAAATGAGGAGCAGATCCCAGCAGGACAGTTGGTCCCTCAAGTTTAGCCTCCCTTGGGTGCCTTTTCCCCATCACTTGGTCCCCCACCACAGCAGGACATAGGGAGGGGAATCATTTGACTTTGTAATGTAATGCAAATTAATTTGATTTGCTGTTTCTGTGAGGTCAAGGCAGAAAACTGGGCATCTCTGGGATATGATTCATCTCATCCTCCTGCTGATGTCTCAGATGCATCAGAGGAACTACGTGGTGCAGGTGTTTGAAGTGAGAGGAGAAGGATCCCATTGCAGTGTGCCCATTGCATAAGTGTAATGAAGTGGTAGGAAATGGAAGGGGAAATTTAAATGCTGTAGTTCATCTTTTACTGATGAGGAGTGATTTTCTGTATGAGAGACACTCACCTGGGGCTCAACAAACCACACTGGAGAATTGATGCCTTGTCCAGGTTGGTAGATGTAAGCAGAGTACACTGGAATTCTGGTATCTTTGTTGTAGAGGGTGGCATAGTGATGCGAGTTGCTGTACTGCTGACAGATCCAGGCTTGGTTCTTCGGAATCAGGGCATCATTTGGGGGGGTCTGTTCATAGAAAAACTGAGGACAACGTGTAAAGGACGTCACCAACTCGCTGTGTCCCAGCCAGAGGCAGCTCGCCAACACCTGCAGCAGCAGCAGCCCCAGCATCGTGGGAGGATTTCAGTGAAGGGCTCTTGCTCCCCTGCAAGGCAAATGAAGAGGGACACTCAGCTGGGAGAGA